GGGCTGAGCCAGGCCTTGAGCTGCAGCAGAGCCTGGCATGCTGGGCTGGGCTTTGGGCTGGGCTGGGCTGGGCCAGAAGGAAGGGAAAATAAAAAGAATTATACCATAGAATACTGAGAGGCTGACTGGTGGCACATGCAATACATTTTTAAAATGTCACAGCAGGCTAAGTTATTGTAATTAACATGTCTAGAATAAAAAAAAAAAAACAACAGTCTTTCCTGTGTAAAACCAATTGGTTTTTGTTTGGAGTGAGTTAAGGCAATTATTCTGGCCATGCCATCCCCAAACAGGAAATGGCTCCAGCTTTGATGTTCTGTATCATATTTCATGTCAAGTACGACACTTGCTGTCCTGAAAAGAAAATTTGCTTGAAGAAACAAGGGTTTTATTAAAAATGACAGTTCTCAGTGTTGTGGTGTCCCAGAGTGCAAAGCCAGCTCTGCTCAGGGTTTTGGCTGTCCCTGAGGAACCTGCTGTTCATGTGCTCAGAACCTGCCCTTCGGTACCTTCCCACTCCGAGCTGTGGCAGGGAGGCTGTTTGCCTGAAGGGTGAGCCTGGGGAGCTGATTTGGCTGAAAAGCAGCTGTTTCTGTGACATTATTCCAGTTATTATATCCCAGCTGAACCAGTGGTTGTATCCATGCAGGAGAGGAACAGTGAAGACATAAGGAGCAGCTTGTGGAGCTCTGCACAGTGGGCAGGACTGTGGGAAAAGCAGTTTAAAAGTACTGGGTTTAAGGAATTCGGTAGTTTTATCCTCTTTGTTCATTAATGGGGTGATTATAACCATAACAAAATGATTGTTCACTCTTGTTTTTACAATCAGTCTTTTAAAATATGCTGCTGACTTTTATTAAGACCTTGGTACCAGTTGATTCATGTCAAGGTTCTGGTGTTGTAGCAGAGACACTTCAGTTCTCAGAAACCTTCTTTCCCGGGGGACCAGCTCTGTTCTGCTCCAGTGGAGCACTGCCAGCCTGGCAGATATTTTGGCTGTGGGCAGCTGAAGGCTCTTGTGCTGCTGCCGTGGTGGTTTGGGATGAGTGCCCGGTCCGGCATTCCTGGACTGCTGCTCGTGCTGTGCTCTGTCCCGTCTGCCAACACCACCTCTGACACCTCTGGGAATGCCACCTCTGTCACCAGAGGTGTTGGGAGGCTCTGGGCTGGCCAGGTCCCGGTTTTCCTGGGGATCCTGCCCTCCAGAGGCACAGGGCCAGCTGCTGACCATGGCAGTCACGGTCCAGGCATTGGGGCCCGGGAGGGGCTGGGGCAGGGCGTGCTTTCCCCATTAGTAATGGCTTGGAGGGACCTCATTTTGCAACCCAGAATTAACTGTTTGGGCTGTGTGGAGTTGAGCTCTGGGAATGTAAACAGCCCTGGCTGGAGTCTGGGCTTCAGAGGCTCAGCTTGGGTTAGGCTGGGCTGTGCTCAGGGTGTCTCCTGGGGGAAGCTCCAGTGGAGGGTCTCCAGGCTGATGGCCAGAAACCAGCACTGCTGGGCTTGGGAGAGCCCTTGGGAGCACTCTGCTGCTCAGTCTTCCAGTTCTTAGTTCTTGAGTCTAGAAGGATTTCTGCATCACTTCCATTAGATAAGATGCAAGTGAGCCCTGCCAAGGGCTGAGGACAGAAGTTTGGTAGTGAAAAAGAAATTCTGTTTTTTTTCTAGAAGTTTGCTGATTCCCTGGTTAGCCAGCAGAAGGAATTAGCATCCCACAAAGCTGCAGTTGGGTGTAAACTTTAAACTGGTCATACCTGTAATTCCGAGGGAGACAGGTCCCTTTGATGGTTTGCTGCTTCCCCTGCTCAGAGAGGAGATGGGCTGTGCTGCTATCACAGGGTTGCATTTTTTCTTTCATGGTTGTGATCACCGAAAAACAATATTATTTAGTGGCTCTCTCTTGGCTTCCTCATTAAAGGTGGAATGTGGGCCTGCAGGAAGGGTGAGGTCTTCCCTTGCTTCACTTCCGAGCCTGACATCATCATCAGTGGCTGTTCTGACCCGCCTGGCCTGGCCACGCTCCTGCTGCCACCCAGGCCTGGGAGAGCATCCCTGATTCCAAGGACATCCAGGGTCTCCAGCTGGGACTTTAGATCCTTGACAGACTGGTTCAGTGTACAAAGAGTGCTAAAGATAAACATATAAAATTATCCATAGACTGTGGGTGGCCAGATTTAAAATGGGAACAAAGTTTTACTAGCACAGTTCTGAGCTGTCATTGCTTTTCATTCCAATGGATATAATTTCCTAGGAAAAAGGAAGGGAAGGAGAAATCTATTCATGATTCTAAAGCTGTGTGGAAGCTCTGTTCTGTGTGGTGGGTTTTTCATTAATGTTGTGGCTAAAACCATTCAAAAACATCCAGTAACTTTGTAGTAGTCTAATGAAAGGTTCTGTAGAACACAGATATGGAATAATATTAATAGGAGCTCTTTAGAGTTACCTCTAAAGATAACTGATACAAAATGCATTTTGTGATTCCCAAGAGCTAAAAGTGACTTTCCAAATCCTGTAGTGGTTTGCCTGTTGCTGCAGGGTGGGAGGAGTCCCAGGAGCTGCCAGTGCTCAGCAGCTCTGTGGGTTAAGGATGTGCACGTACCCAGCTCTGAGGGCTCGGCCGGTTCTTAGAAGTTGTTTTGAATTGCACCACCCAGGGTGGCTGTTTAATTTCCCAAACTGCTGGTTGGGTTCAGGCTGGGCCTTCTGGTCTGTCAGATCTTGGCTCTGTGGTGCCTGTTCTGGAGCATGTCAGGGTAAGTGTGTCAGCACCGGGGGAGCGACCTCCTGTATCGCCTCTAATCCGCCTTTCCCTGCTCCCAGCCCAGGGCTGCGGACAGACAGGGCAGTGGGAGCTTCAGCTCTGCAATGGGGATGGAGAAACCTGTTGCTTTTTTTTTCCTAAACAGATTTCTAGCTCATCTTGTTCCACCCCTTGCCATGAGCAGGGACACCTCCCACTGTCCCAGGTCGCTCCAAGCCCCATCCAACCTGGCCTGGGACACTTCCAGGGATGGATCATCCACAAGTGTATCTGTGTAGTGGAGATCCATGCACAGATGATGATCCAGATGTCTGTAATGATGGAGAAGGTGGCTGCTCTCCTGTTCCTTCTGCCCCAGTCTCTCAGACACAGTTAATCCCTGTACTCCTCCTGAGGCACTGCCCTGTCTCGCTGCTTTTCCAGGTTACCTTGGGAAGGTCAAGCCCACTGGCAGTTGAGCTACTGGGGCTCCAGCAAACTGCCTTGGTCACCTGCTGTTAAATGCTGGTTGTTTCAACTAGAAAATCTTAAAACATTTGGAACTGGCACAGGGTGCCCAGAGAAGCTGTGGCTGCCCCATCCCTGGAAGTGTCCAAGGCCAGGTTGGACGGGGCTTGGAGCAACCTGGGCTGGTGGAAGGTGTCCCTGCCCGTGGTAAGGGGTGGAATGGGATGATCTTCAAGGTCCCTTCCAACCCAAACCATTCCATGATTCTCCTATCAAACCAGTTAACTGACTTGTGGAGTAGTTGCCACTTAAGGTGAGATCAAAATCTGTTTAAGAATGTGCTGCTCTAACTGGGGTGTTCTTACAGTGTAGTACTGCCATGTAATTTCTAGTAATTTTGCAGGGCTAAAAAAATATAAATAATTACTCTCTAACAGGATGTAATTTCCATCAGACAAAATATTTCTATTTGGGTGAGAGAAACGTTTATCAATCTGGTCTGTGTTTTCCTTGACAAATAAATATTCAAGTGCTGTCAGAGTATTTCAGGAGCTTTTGTTTGAGTCTGGTTGATGTTTTGAGCGTTACTTTATTCTGGTATTTAATTATTAAACACCTTATGGTTCACAACTAGTTCAAGCAGATAATGTGCCATGAAATTAAAGTCAAATTCCTTAAAAACACGAACCCAAACCTGAAGGAATCTTGTCCTTGGAGGTGTTCAGGATGTTCAGCTGATGAAGCCTGATCAGGAAAATGAGCTTTCTGTACATGCCCAGGCTTGCAGTGGCTTATTAAACAGATTGAGGATCAGATAAAGTCTGTAGGAGCTGAGAGACTGACAGCAGGGAGGGGAAACTCTCTGAATAGGAGAAGAGAATCCCGGAGTCCCTCCAAGTGCTCCCTGGTGTAAAGGTGTAGTAACAGTGAGCAGCCGAGTGGAAGAGATCAGGGAGAGCTGGGTTTGTCATTGTTGCAAAGGTGGGGTGGAACACTGTTAGAGCCAGTGAGCCAACAACAAATAAATCTGTGTCCACATTAAACAATTCAACGTTTATGTGTAAACTGGGATCAGAAGAAGGTGTAGAATTGTGTGTGTAAAGGTTGGAGTATGTTTGTAGCAAGTGAGAGTATTTTATCTGGAAGTGTGTGTAAGTATTCAGCATTTTTCTATCAAGGTTAGACCTTTTCTGGGAATACCATTAACTTGTGATGAGCTTTTTAAGTACCAAATCTTTTCTATTGTTTTAGTGTTGTGGAATTCAGCAAAATGAGGCAGTGGGAGGTTTCTGGTGAAGGGGGTGTGTGTGTGAGGTTAAGGGAAGGCTCAGGCTGCCCTTTCCACTGGTTGCTGATGGACAAAGCTCTGCAGTGCTCAGATACAAAAAGATGAAGGTGCCTCTCCTGCTTTTCTCATGTCTTTATATTCCTTTTCATTCAAGTGTACTGATACAAAATGTTTTAAGGTGGATTACCAGCATGGAGTGAAGCTCCAGTTGCTTCAGTACCCCTGTGCACTCAGTGGAGTGACTCAGGGTCATCCATGTGAGGCTGGAAGGACCATGGAGAGCTTGGTGCAGAGGATTTGTGCTGCAGGCTGGGATTCCAGGAATGTCAGGGCTTCCCAAGCTCCCTGTGCTGGGAGCAAGGGCTGTGTGTGACATGGTGCACATGGGGGCGTTTCCAGCAATGGTTTCTACTTTGGAACTGAGCAGGTTTTATTGGAATTGTTGAGGCAATCTTTGACCCTGAGCTTACCAATTGTCTGACAATGTCTTTTTTCCTCCCCTAGGGCTGAGAAAACAGAGGTACTCAGTGAAGACCTGTTGCAGGTATTGTAACACACTTCTTATGTGTTCTTTAAGTGCTCCTTGTGAAGTTTGAGCCTTCTGAGGTTTGTGGAGTACCTAAGGTGGGGATAAAATTCTGCATGTCAGGGATAGAAACCTGGATGTCTTTGACTTCTCAACACATGAAAAAACTGGGGATACATTTTGAATAAAAAACCTCAGTACTTCTATTTCTGAATCCAGTCACGTGGCCTGATACAGTGAAGGAGGAAGCATTTTCTTTTAATTAGATGAACGAGCTTGATAAGCTCACAAACCTCTGGTGCTGATGACTTGCCAGTCTGTGGTGGAGGGTGAAGAAGCTCTGACTGGGCACGGCAAGTTTCTGTCCTCACTTCTGTTTCTCTTGAACAGGCCTTAAGAGAAGTGGCAAAAAAGCCATATCAACTGCTTGCTAGTAGAGAGTGGCAATTTATTTCCTTAAAGTCTGTTATTGCTTATTGTTATAAGTGTACAAATCCTTCTTGTTTAGCTTCTGATGTTAAATAAATGTACAAATGCTTCTTGTTTAGCTTGTGATATTCGTTCTCAAATTTGTCACGCTGACAGTTGATTTGTTTGCAGACTTGTCATCTTTGTGAAAGGATATCATTTCATCAAACATGACTTTCATGGTGGAGTTTGAGTTGCAACTGTCAGATTAACAAGGGTGACTGACTACATGGAGCAAATTTAAATACAGTCTTGTCCTACATAGTTTTCTTCCTCTGGTTTCTTTATGAGAGACTTGTGAAAGGAACACAAATTGTGAGGGAAGGCTGCTGTGGCACCTCGAGTGTGCTGGTTCCTTCTAATGAATTCCAAAGCAGCTCAGGGTGCCTGAGGTCAGGACCTGTGCCTGGGACAGGAAGCCAAACAGATGATGCAAGTGCTTCTAGTTCAGATCTCTCCAGCTGCTCAGGTTCAAGGAGAAGATGAGGGAGCATATCAGCCTTCAAACTTGAATTAGGCACATTAGAAGGGCCTTTAAAGCTCATCCAGTGCCACCCCCTGCCATGGGAAGGGACACCTTCCACCAGACCAGGTGACTCCAGGCTCTGTCCAGCCTGGCCTTGGACACTTCCAGGGATGGGGCATCCACAGCTTCTCTGGGCAACCTGTGCCAGTGTAATGGTGGAATGAGCTGACCTGAAACATTTCACCCCGTTTTCAGGGGACTGCTTTGGTTAAACTATAAACACCTGAACAGTTTGACAATACTATTCTTATTTTCTGAGCAGATGTACAATGAAATGACATAAAGGATGTTAAACACCTTGATAGCCTGCAAGGGCCCATCTGTTTTCTTGCTTAGCTGCAGAACAGTAAAAAGAAGTGAAAGCCAAAAGCCCTGCTGCTTGTTGCCAAAAAAATTTTGCAAGCAAGGCTTTCCCAGGCCCTGAGCAGCCTGGCTACACCCAAGTGGAAGAATTTACTCACTTGTTTGTTTGCTCTTGGGGGCTTGTGGAGGGGCAGGAGGCTCTTATCTAACCCAAGAGCTTGGAAACGTGGTGCTGCTCACTTGATAAACATGGTTCACAGTTGGCCTCTTTTTATATTTAGCTCAAGCTTTGCCTCAGGATTGTCATGGCTTTTTTTGTTCTGTTTTCTGAAGGGTTGTGCTCCATTTCAAGTGTCTGTTAAATGTGTTCCTGTTTGAAGACAAGGGATATAATTCAGTACTGGAAGGGCTTGTACAATAGCCCCACTTTCTGGCATGGCTTTGTAGCAGATAATAAAGCAATTGTGTGATGTTCTGCACTCTGCAGATGCCCTGAGGGGACAGACAGCGTGGCCTGTGGGTCACATTGTTGGTTCAAAGGTGGCTTGAAGGAGATTAATGTCCTTTATGGTTTTCCTGACATCTTTGAACTAAAAAGCAGATCAGAGAGGAGAGTGTATTATCATGAAGTTCTGGGGTCATGTTCCTCCTATCAGTCATCTGCCCTCTGAGTCTGGCATTCAGGGTGCCTGGAAAGAGCTTGTTAGGAATGTGTGTGCTCCAGAGTCTTTCTAAGGAACATGAGCCACCAGGCAGGGCTGCCCTGGGCTGCTGGGATCCCTGAGGTGCTGCAGGGACAGGGTGTCACCATGTGTCAGGGGTGGAAAAACCCTGTGCTCAGGATTTTAAGAAGTCTTAAAAAGAAATTAATTCTTTCATAACCAGTGGAAGGTTTAGAATGTGTTAGGGGTATTTCTTCCCTGTGAGGGTGGGGAGGCCCTGGCACAGGTTGCCCAGAGAAGCTGTGGCTGCCCCTGGATCCCTGGAAGTGTCCAAGGCCAGGTTGGATGGGGCTGGAGAGACCTGGGCTAGTGGAAGGTGTCCCTGCCCATGGCAGGGGGTGGCACTGGATGGGCTTTAAGGTCCCTTCTCTAACCCAAACCATTCTAGAATTCAGACATTTAATTTTGAAGATAACACAACAGTACACCACAAACAAGAGCTTCTTTTTCATGTATCTCCATATGGACTGGTTTTTACCTGGACTTAATTTTGAAGTTGTTGTTCCATGCTCTGTAAATAAAAGATGAAACCTTGTGTTTTCAGAGCAGTCCCTGAGCAGTTTCTCTGCACCTTATTTACTCTTATGGATTTTTACTGAGCTTTTTGAGCACTTCAACTTGGATTCATCTTGCCTCCTGAAAATATAACTGAAGTAATTTTAGAGCTGTATCAAAAACTGGAATCTGTTCAGATTATTTCTACAGATGAAATCTACTTCTTTTTCCTTGCTTTTTAAATAGAATCCATTCCAAAGGGCCTCCTGTTATTCTTGGTGAGTCATCAAAATGCAGATAAACAGCATTCTTTGGGTGCTGTGCACAGAGGCTCAGTGCCATGAGCAGTTCTGTCCCACTGCTCATCACTTTGTTTGCTTTTGATGTTCTTTGAAATAAAATAGTCCAAATTCTTTACTTAAAATCCCTTAAAAGAACAGTTTACCATGTATATATTTGTCATATTCACTGGCTGTGTATTAAGCCATGTTTGAATTATATGTTGATAAATAGAACTCTTGTTTGTGCTTTGACACTTATTATTTTAATTCCATATCCCTTTCAAATCCCATTAATCTCTCCCTGAAAATACTGTATTGCTCATCATGTAGGAGCTTTGTCCTTGTAGTTAACAGCCAGGGAAGGACATGCAGGGGGAAGCCTAGAGTACAGTTCACACTGTGAATGAGCTGTCAGACATGTCTTCGGCACCTCCTTTACAAGGTCACAGTGAAAAACTGAGTTTTCCCCCTAAATCAGTGTCTTAGATACCTGTGTGTGCCATTCATCTCAGATGGCAAGTGTCAGCCTGATTCCTTTGGCCGAGGTGACAAGCAGGGGCAATGTTTTCTCCCACTCTACAGTGCTGTGAGTTCTGACTGAACTGCTGTGCCACTGAGGAAAAAAACAATTTAAATCTCTGTCCAAGCATTTTTGCTGCCGGGCACTTCTGCTGAGCAGCTGAATTGTGAGCTGGAGAATTTGAGAAAAATGCAACCCGGAGCGGAGTGTGGTGCGGGGGGAAGGTTTTCTGCTGAGGCCAGGGAAATAACTTCTGTTTTCTGTTTGGTTTTCTCTTCCTCCTCCGTCCCCCTCGGGCCCACCAGATCGAGAGGCGCCTGGACGCCGTGAGGTCCGTGTGCCACCTGGCCCAGAAGCGCCTGATCGCGTGTCTGCAGGGCCAGCATGGCACAGACCCCGACAAGAGACACGTAAGTGCAGCTGCCAGGGCCTGTCTGCCCAGGGCCTGTCTGCCCAGGGCCTGTCTGCCCAGGCTGGGTTGGTGAGGGCTGGCCCTGAGGTACAGCTCTGCTGCTCTGCCCCACATGAGCCAGGGGAGGAGAACTGTGCCCCGTCAGCTCACGTGTGGGCATTGGTGAAATACCAGCTGCAATGCCCCATCCAAGCAAAACAGCACAGCCTTGGAATACCTTGGCAGTGTCAGGACACTCACTTATCTCTGCAGTGCCCTGAGTGCTCAGAGCTTTCAGGAGACCCAGCTAAGAGCAGCTACTCTGCAGCTCGGATCAAACTCCTCATGTTTAGAATTGCCTTTTGGGCACTGACACCTCCAGTTGACTGTAAATGTTTTTCTGTACACATTTGATTTCTACCCCTCTTTAGTAAAGCCATAGGTAGTTTTTCTTAAAACATTAGAACCAAAAATAATTAACATTCAGGTTTTCTCCTTTTACTGAGTAACACAGACCTGAAAGCCGGGGCACACGGAATCTCTGGGAGAGAGATGTGACAAGCTGGTTCCTTAAATCTCAAGTTAAAGCTGTTTATCTCTCATTGGCAGTACTTGAGATAAGTTTTGGGCCAGTCATTCCAGCTAAGACTGAAAAGAAAGTGTTTTTCAGAGTATCAGAGAACAGGAGTCTTGAGGCTTGAAACTTTCTGTGACTTGGCATTTTCTTCAAGTCCAAGAATGAGCTGCGTGTGTGTGTAATAGAAACCATATGGAAGAGGAGAAAAGCTTAGAGGGGATGTACTGGGAAAGCTGGAAAGAGTGACTAGCACTAAGCTAAGCACTGTTCTTTCTGTTCCACAGAAAAAACTTCCTCTAACAGCTCTAGCTCAAAATATGCAAGAAGGATCAGTCCAACTGAGTGATGAAACTCTGCTGGGGTAAGTGTTTGCCTTCCTTTGACTTGCAGTCTGACATTTTATTGCCTGCAGGGCTCTAATTAGAGACTCTGGGTGCACAAAACCTGGTTTCAATGTAGTGAAATTTAATATTCCCAGATTCCTTCTCTAATCCAAAGGGAGAAACAGTGAGCAAGCAGTTTTTCTGGAATGATTTGGGGGCAAGTTTTAGGCTGAATTGCATTCCAGAGGATTCCGATTCTCTGCTATCATAAAAGCTTTTGAAAACGGCTTTTATCCTGGTGGATTAGCTGAATTATTATCTCCATTTGAAGTTTAAAATGTAGTGTATTCTACAATGAAACTGCATTTTTATTATATTATGAACTGCATTCTGCAGGTTTGATTTAATGACTTAATACCAATTTGTATTAATGGCTTCTAGTTTAAAATAATCCCAATTTAACTATCCTGGCAAAGTGGTTATTTGCAATTTACAGGAAAGTGGCTGAAACAAATGACCATCCCATATTCTGAATTCCTAGAGCAAGTGGGTTTCCTCATTGCTGATGGTCATGGTAGAATGACCTTAAAAACCTTTGTGTATGTAATTGTGAGCCACTGCAGGAGATGTGAATGTGGATAAAACCCCTAGGGAATAGGGCTTTTCCTTAGAACAATCTTAAAATAAAGGTCAGATCATGGGGTTGGAGCCTGAGACTGTTGCATACGGGGTTGCTTGGCATTAGGGTGTAAAGACTTTCACATTAAAAGGGCTTAGGAGAAAATCAAATACTGCATTGAGCAATATTCCTGCATCTGGTGAGATGGAAGGATGGGCTTGGAAATAAATACTGACTTCTGTACCTTTAGGGCTGGTATAATCACCTGCATGTCTTAAAGCCTCCAAAATGTTGTCATGGCTCAGGAATTTTAGAAGAGACAGGTTTAATCAAACTCCTTGCCTGTCCCAGGTTTGTCCCTGACAGCACAGAGTGTTTGGGTTTGTGCCAGTGAGTGATAATTTGCTCTGTACAGCACAAAGCTTCCCAGAAGGGCCCCCACTGCTCTGGTCTGAATCTTTCTTCTTCAGTCAATAGTAACTCACTTGACAATTTCCTGTAATTCTTAAAGGAAAATGCTGGATACCTGTGGGGATGCAGAGAATAAACTGGCAATGGAGCTCTCTCAGCATGAAGTACAGATTGAGAGAGAAGTTCTAGATCCACTGTGCCTGTTAACAGAGGTGAGTCACCTCAGCCTGACTGAAGAAATACATCTGGATTTGTGGATACACTGAGAAAAAAGGGTTTCTCTCATTGCTAAGAATAAAGCTGGTTTAAGGAGCCCTGTGTGGTGGAAAGTGGATGTGAGGGCTACAACATGGAGTTTATTGCAATGCACAATTTAAAAATCTATGTAAGCCTCAAATTCTCATTTTAGACAGAGATCCCAAACATTCAGAAGCAGAGGAAGCAGCTTGCAAAGCTGGTGCTGGACTGGGATTCTGCAAGGGGAAGGTAAGAAAGAATTTTAATTACTGGGTGCTTTTCCAGTCACATGAACTTCTTGTTGGCATCTCATGGCATCTGATCTGGTACTTGCTTTTGAAATGCTATTGTGTGCAGGTGATGCTTAGGTGAGAAAAGACAAACTTACATTTAAGTTGCACCTAAAAAGAACCCATGACTACTAGATCCAAACAGAATCAAGATCTTGGAGCTCTTATATGCCTATATATAGTTGGGAAAATGTTGGAAATTCTTTTTCTTTCCAGTTCACTTCAGTGTTCCGCTTTTCTTCCACAGATACAACCAAGCCCACAAGACTTCAGGAACAAATTTCCAAGTGCATCCTTCAAAAATAGAATCTCTTAAGGAAGAGATGGATGAAGCTGGCAATAAAGTGGAGCAGTGCAAGGTATGGACAGGAGGAGTGTCCTTCCCACATCTCCCATTAGCAGGAGCAGCGATCAGAGCTGCTGCTTCAGCCTGAAACCGCCTGAGTGCTGCAGCTGCAAATCATGTGGCTGTTCAACTGTTTGTCTTAAGGGTATTTTAGTGCCAGCTGATCTCTGAATTGCTTTAATTTAAAGAGGAACTCTGGGGATTTTTTTAAGTTGGGTATTTTACACTGTTTTCTGTTTCAGTCTGAGGCAGTTCTGAGGAGGAACTGTGTCCCAGCCTTGATGAATGTCAGGGTGCTGGGTGCTCTGAGCCGTGGAGCAGCCGTGCAGTGGGAGCTTCCTGGATGAAATTCAAGCTGTGCCGTCCAAGGAACACTGTGACTGTTACAGCTCTGAGCAGCTCACATTCAGTGTCACTTCTCAGTTGGCAAATACTTCATTATGCTGCAGCTGAGCTGGGGACCGAACCCGCTTTTATTAGTCCTTGTCTTTGAATGCCATAAATATCATATTGCCATTCAGTCCAGTTGTTGACTGAAGTGGGCAACTGCTTTACTGTATAAAGCAGTTAAGCATTTTGAATTCATTTTGCTTGAGGAATACGTGTAGCAGAGCCAGGTGCATTTCTGCTTCCTGTAGTGCTTGAATTAACAGTTTGAACTCACTGCAGGCAAAGTAAACACGGGAAAATCTGTCTGTCTGTCTGTCTGGGTAATTTGAAATGCCCCTGTAAATTTGATGTACTATTTTGCATTCTTCTCTTTCCCAAAGGATCAGCTTGCAGCAGACATGTATAGCTTTGTGTCCAAAGAAGGGGAATATGCTCGATGTTTTGTTATGGTGAGTATTTTCAGTATGACTCTGACTCAGCACATCTGTGCACAGACATTCAGTTCTCAAAGATGACATTTTGAGTGCTAAACCTTCTAGTCTTGTCTTATGTGCTCATCAGAAGCTAATGCTCTTTTTGTTTTTAAAATGTGGCTTCTGTTCTCAGTTATTAGAAGCACAAGCAGATTACCATAGAAAAGCATTAGCAGTCATAGAAAAGGTCCTCCCCGAAATTCAAGCCCATCAAGGTAAAGTAACCTGTGCTCTGGCTGATGCTTCTCCTTGCCTGTGCCACCTATGCACAATATTCTCCTCCTTTATCTTGATTCTCTTGCATGCACACTGATTTAATAAGGCCATTTTGATCTACTTAACAATTTTACATTCCCAAGCATAATTCCATCTTCGTGTTCTCTGGAGTTCTCCAGCCATATTTAACACACTAATAAAATATGAAGGATCTCTCTGATACCTCTGATAGGAGGGTAAAGGAAGGATTTTTCTATTTGCTTACACTTCTTCCTTGTTATCATGTGCCCTTTTGCTGATTCATACCTGGCTTTTTAGGCCAATGGAAGTGTCATTGTGATTTAGGAACATATTAGGGGTCCTTGGTTCTTGAATGATTACCAGGTGATTATCAGGAAAACTCCATGTATTTAAGGAGCTTGATTTATTTTTTTTTTTCCCCTCATTTTGTGCAATCCTCTTTCCTGGCATGCACTTTATGCTGGAAAATGGATGGTTTAGGTTCTTGTGCTGATTATCAGCTGTTTAAAAAAGGGTATTATACAGCTTCACTTCTTCCCTAAGAAGAAATGGAACTGCTGCAAAGCTTCCTGCTGTCAGTAAGAGCTTAAGGTGTATCACTGATATCACTGAGGATTTGGGATGAAGATGCACCATGTGTTTTGGAAACTGCTCTCCTGAAAACTGGCTGTGCTGGCCCTGAATTTTCTAAGTGCCTTGGAGAAACAGGTGAACAAAGTCCGAGAAAAATATAATCTCAGCTGAGCAAGGCTCAGGTATCTTCAGTTGTGGGTCACAGGCAAGTTGTAAAAGCTGAACCATTTAAATACATAAATAAATGGGAGCATCATGCTGGAAGGTGGTACAGAATATCTGTACCCTGTCAGTTTGGAGATGAGAGAAAGCAAGCAGGTGATGTTTGTACAGCAGCAGGGCTGCAGAAGGGCTCTACAGAAGGGCTCTACAGAAGGCTCTTCATCACTGCTTTGAATTTGTTGTTGTATGAAAAGTTTGTACAAAGCAGCTGAAGAAAAAGTGCTTCAGAACAGACTGGCCTCCCTGGAAGGTGGGTTAGGAGCTATGGTGGGTGAGTGCTCCAGCAGCCAGGGTAGGGAATTACCTCAGTTGTGTTTCTAGCTGCAGTGGAAATTGGAATCACAGAATCCTGGGATGTTTGGGGTTGGAAGGGACCTTAAACTCATCTCGTTCCACCCCCTGCCATGGGCAGGAACACTTTCCAGTACCCCAGGTTGCTTCAAGTCCTGTCCAGCCTGGCCTGGGACACTTCCAGGGATGGAGTCTGAGACTTACTGTGACTTTGAACAAGTACTGAGGTCTCTTTTCCTAACTTTTGCTGTAACTTGCAGCTCTTGGGAAATGCCATGTGCATCTCATGGCGTGTTAATGAATGAGAGGGACTGAAGCCTTAGGAGGGAAGTGGGTGATGTGGTTTTATAAAGAAAAAGGGTGAATTAAATCTTTTGCAGAAACACTTTGTATCTTCAGAGCACTCTTTCAAGTCCTCTGAAGTTTTTGTCTTTCTTGGCCTTTTTTCCACATAAAAGAAATAACACATATATACTAACAATAACCTTTTACATCTGCATTTTTTTCAGTTAAAACAGTAGAAATGGGTGAAAAAGTAAATTATCGGAAAGAATAAACTCGTGTTCAATTTGGAGAAACTTATGTCAATTTGAGTTAAACAAGTAAGGAATTGAACTGAAAATTTGTGCATTACAATGCTGGGCTGTCACCATGGTGGTTCTGATGTGAGGCACTGGGGCTGTTAATGTTCATCATAAGTTGCTGATTTCAGGAATCACATTTCAGGAATAAACTCTGTATTAACAGCTCAGTTTTTATTCACCTTTTATACAGTTAAAATGAAAATCAGCCCAGGTCATGCAATCTGGACAAAATTTTTCTCAGATTCTTGCAGTTTGAAGCCAAATCAGTGCAACTGGAAAGTGCAGCTGTGTGCTGGCACTTGTGTTGAGCTTTATTTATAATTCCAGTTACACACAGGATTTGTATGTGATATTCCACCCAGAAAGATGCAGAAGTACTTTTTTCTTGACCACCAGCAGCTTCATTTTCCCTTTCCTCATGATACAAGGGACTTTACCAATCAAGGGCTGTAAAACTCCCGCTCTAGTCTGAACTTTTCTCTGCTGTACTAGAGGCTTTCTTCTCTTCTTGCCTGGGCTGTAATTCAAGGGGTTGGTAGATATTCTGCTCAGTGTTTTGATACTCTCCAACTAGACAAATGGACTGAAAAACCAGCTTTTGGAACTCCATTAGAAGAGCATCTCAAGCGCAGCGGGCGGGAAATCGCAGTCCCTATTGAAGCCTGTGTGATGATGCTTCTGGAAACGGGGATGAGAGAGGAGGTGGGTAATTCCAGGTGACATGCCAGGAAGGATGGGAAAAAGAGTCCAGTCGAGCTCATGGACTGATGTCTGTACTTGTTAATATGTAGCTGAAGTAATTTGTTCATTAATGTAAACGATAAATGTTTTGCAACCTTGAGCACTGGTTGAAGTATCTTTGAGATGAATTCACATACAATGAAAATCAGGGATGGGCCAAGGGTGAGAGGGAACTAAAACATGGTCAGGTGACAGTGACATGACACATTAGGGCTGTAACACTGTCAGGTGAAGACACCAAACCTGAAATGTTCTGAAAGAGGCTGTTACAAAACTTCTGCTGTCCTGTGCTTGTGCCAATGTGTTGTTAAAAGTCAGTTAATTTTATTTTTATGATGCAGGGCTTATTCAGAATTGCTGCTGGAGCCTCCAAGTTAAAAAAGCTGAAAGCTGCCCTGGACTGTTCAACTTCCCAGCTGGACGAGTTCTACTCCGACCCCCACGCTGTTGCAGGTGTTGTGAATGTTCTGAGTCAAAACCAGCTGGAAACTGATACAACACAGCTTTGTGCTGTTAATTTAATTGCTGACCTGCTGCAGTGTGAGATGTCAGTCTCTGCAGATAAAATAGGAGGGAAAAAAAATTGAAAGTTCCCTTTGTTGCACAGTTTGACACAGATAAATGTAGGGTGCCCATGCTCAGCACACCTGGGATATCCTGTCTGTGTGACACCTGTAAAATTCAGGTGATTGGCATAATCCAAGTGTCGCATTTCCTTTCATGACAAGAGTGTTAATGTGATCAAGGGAGATTAGAGCCATGTGTACACCTTTGAGAAGGTCTTCAGAAGTTCTTTGCTCTGATGAGATGATTCAGAGTTTTAGAACACATGTTTCTGTTAAATTACAGTAATTACTGACAGACCTTTCGTGTTAGGATTTGAGCAGCTACTCTGTGGAAGTGTTGGGTCTTCCCACTGTTTCCCTGTGTCATGGTTTGAGATAGCCCCACAGTCCAATTCCCTAGCTCCATCCCCCCTCCCACATCTCAACCTAATGTGAGATGGGTTTTTCCAGACAAAACACAACCAGACTCAGAATGGGGGAAAGGGAATATATTACAATGACTGTACAAATAAATACTATAACACATTATACACACAATCACAACTATCTCTACCATGACACATAGTATTTACAGATCTCTTCTCCCCTCCAAATAAAAGTCCAGGAGGGAAAGAAGGACAGATCCCTTCCAGTCTCTCAGGGCAGCAGTTTCTTCTAAGGCTGCTATTTGGGACCTATTGCATAGATAAAACTGCAAATCTGAGGGCAGAATTTGAGCTGAGGTCTGAAGGCAGTGGCTGAGGAGCCAACCTGTTCCTGTCTGCATTGCAGGTGCCTTGAAATCCTATTTGCGGGAACTGCCAGAGCCTCTGATGACCTACAGCTTGTATGAGGAATGGACACAGGCTGCAAGGTGAGCATGCTAAAAATAGCTGGAGAGGAAAACATGCTGCACATTTTATCAAATTTGGTTCTTCATAGATGAATCTGAAAGAAACAACCAAACTCACACAGTTGCTTTTCCTGTTTCTGCTTTAACAGGTGTTTTGTGTAACGAATTATTTTAAATTTTATGGTTCGTAATCCTGATTATACAAAATGTGGTGAAATATCTACTTTCTGTTTAACCATAAGGGCTGCTTCAGATTGCTGGGTGCACACTGTTGATGCCCAAGCAGTTTTCTTTCATTGCAGGTAGAGATAATTCAGTGATCTGACTGGCAGCTTACTGAGTCCAAAACAGTGCATTTATTTGGCATAAATGGAGGGTTGCACCATCATCTCTTTGTCACTCCAGAAACAAGAAATTGCTGATCTGAAAATAAGATATAATGGAATTTATTTTCCTTTCAGTATTCAGGACCAGGATAAGAAGCTCCAAGAGTTATGGAGAATTTGTAACAGGTTACCTGAGCATTATCGTGTTAACTTCAGGTATGTGTGAACATCTGTTGGCTCAGCTGCTTTGATGCTGAGTTACTGCTTCTCAAAGCTGATTAACCAAAACTCAGATCTAGGGGTGTTTTTCATGGCCAGATTCAGTGAGATTTATAAAAATACATCTTATTTTGTCCAGCAGTCTGTATGCAGAGGTGATGGTAAATTTTTCAGTCAGGTTAATTCACTATTGACTGTCAGGAAATAGTGATGCATGGAACCTGAATATTTAAGGGTCATGCTGTGCTCTTCTTTGTATTTACCAGTCTTAGAAATCATGGGGATTTATCTTAACTCATTTTTCCTTTTGGTTTTGCCTTTTGGGAGGGAATGAATTGGAATGAAACCAACTCCAGTGAGTCCCAGAAGCTTGGAAGTTCCATTACAGGACATGAAACTAGCTGAATCTAAATGTTTTTCTCAGAAAATATAATAGTTCTCTAGTTTAATTTTGCTAAGGTGGGAGCTGCTTTCATGGCTACCCAGTTCAGCTTTTATGATGGATGAGTAGAAGCTTAGGGCCAGGTGCCAAAGCCCAAGGCTGCTCATCTCGCTTCTGTGTTGTTGGGAGCTGTTGTTACAAGTTCTTGAGTTTTTATTTATTTGCTTTCGACAAGAAATGCTCTTAGTTTCTGCTGTTTAATGATTTCTTTCCTTTCTGTAGGTATTTAATCAAATTTTTAGCCAAGCTTGCACAGAACAGCGACGTTAACAAAATGACTCCCAGCAACATCGCCATAGTCCTGGGCCCCAACTTGTTATGGGCAAAGAATGAAGGGTGAGTTCTTCAGGAAAGCTGCACAACAGAACTTCATCAAGCTTTGTTTTAAATCTTGTAGACTATTCACAACAGCAGACTGCATACCTAAAAAATATTTCAGGTGTTCTTTCAGCCTGTACCCCCAGGCTGTTTTAGGCACGAAGCACTTTGGGGCTGTTTTCAAAAGCTGTGAATGTTACTGGAGTTCAGCACAGTTGCTCTTTATATGGTACTGAGGAGTCAATCCATCATGCTTAGCATAACTTGTCATTTAGGTAATATGAATTTTTAGTTTTATTACTGTGATAGAACTGTGTATAAAGTGTTCTCCAAATCTCTCCTGCAGATCCCTTGCTGAAATGGCAGCAGCAACTTCAGTCCATGTGGTAGCAGTTATTGAGCCAATTATTCAGCATGCAGACTGGTTCTTCCCTGGAGGTAAATTCCTGCCATAGTTGAAAGAATTTTATATTACTCTGCACAGGTGAACCTCCAGTAGCTTTTGCAGTGAGGCACCATTTGGCATCTGTGTGTCTTAGGATGTATTCTGTCTGTCTCTCCTCTAGATGAAGATTTCAATGTGTCTGGGGCATTTGTGGCAGTTCCTGCTGTTAATTCCAATCACTTGTCACACACTGGGAATGACTATGAATGTGGGACACTGGAAAGGAAGAGGCCTGTCAGCATGACTGTGATGGAAGGGGATTTGCTGAAGAAGGAAAGGTAGGTGTGATTCACAGATTAGGTGTCAATTATTAGCCCTCTCCTGAGGAGGCTTTAATGACACACTTTTATTGGTCTCAGGAGAGGAATTTAACGGAAATACTGTAGATAACAATAGTGATTTATTTCATGTTGTTGCAGCCTGAGGATGGTTCAAAGGTAACGTACTGTTACTTACTTCCATTACACTCCATGCATGGTAAATCCCAAGCAGATATTGCTGCTCCCAGTTACCATTTTCCCAGCACAGACTTGGGGGGGTCTAAAATTCACTGCAACAGAAGTGTTTGTAGAAGCATCTCTCAGTCTCTAACGTCTGATATTCCATGGCTTCTCTTTCAAAGCCCATAAGCTGAGGTGGTGTTACCTGGTGCCTTCATGATAAGACTTCTGAGTTGATGATGGTACAGTATTGCCACAGCAAGCAGTAGAATGCTAAAAAATACCAGTAAAACGTGCTGTTTCCCATATAACATGTAGTGTAACGTTCATTATTATCACTCATCATGGATATTCAAGTGATGTGCTGTTTTGTTTTTAGCTGTTGATGCAAATGTTGTTACCTGTTAGCTATGGCCAGCCACATGCAAATTTGTCAGCACTCACAGAGGAAGAAGAAAATCAGTTCAAGATTCAGTCTTTAACACAAGAATAAAATTCTAGAATGAATGTGCTGTATGCATTCTAAAATCTGTTAGAGTTGGGGTCTATTTATTTGTAGTTGTCCTTGAAACACAAATAGAACTGTAGAATGATTTGGGTTGGAAGGGACCATAAAGATCATCTCAATCCAACCCCCAAATCACAGCCTACATCCAGTAGCTTTTTTTGAATCTGTACTGCAACTTAGTGGGTAACAGAAACAAAATTCATGTGGCAGAATACATTCAGTGAGGAACTACTCTGGTGTGCGAGGAAATGTCTGTATTTACATGTGAAACTCTGAGTGCTTTGACCTCATTGTCATCAGTGTTTGTCTTCAAATGTAATGGAGTAGTTTGTTCACTTATGTTTAGCTTATCCCTCTGTGTGTGGATAAGCCAAATCCTGTTGCATGTCTTAACATTCCTGGTGTTCTGCAGCCAGTGGAAGCTTTAACATTGTGGTGTTCTGCAGCCAGTGGAGGCTTTCCTTGTTGCTGCTTTGCATGCCGAGCGACGGGGGTTTGTCTGGGGGGTGTAACATCCCGTGTCCTGTTGCTGCAGAGCCTGGTGTTGGCTGCGTGGTGTGTTCACTCTCTCTTCTCTCTGTAGCTTTGGTGTGAAGGTTCTGGACTTCCCTGGGAACCCTCGGAGATGTGGCACTGTAAACAGAAAGCACACATCCCCGGCCTTCCAGCCCCCGCTGCCGCCCACCGAGCCGGCCGGGCCCGAGCAGCACCCGCCGGCTGCGGGGGCTGACTGCACCCCCGGGGGGGCTGGGCTTGCTCTCTCTGCTGCCTCAGCAGAATCCCAAGCTCAAGGCCCTGAGGATGGCAGGTAAGAGGCACAGCTTCTGCTGCAGTGGCTTGGCAGGCGGCTCCAGCAGCAAACGATGTGTCCCCTGTGTCTGCTCTGCAGCCTCTTCCACCTGGGATGTACTTTGTCAGGGGTGAACCCTTCAGGCCTGGACAGCAACACTGCAGGAGCTCTCCTGCCATGCTTCCAGAATTGGTCTTTTAAAATGACATATGTAGTCCTGAATGTTCCTGAATTCGTTTTCTAGGATAATGGAATTCTTGGGGGGAAAAAATTGTGATGAAATACACCAAAAAAAGACTCTACTTCTGCTTCCCACAGTGACCTTCGCTGGTTATACTGCAGAGGTGTGCACACAGGGTGATATCAGTTTGCTGCTGAAAGAACAAAACCTACCAGTGGCAATACCTGTTGGTCTTGTTTGTTGTTCCTTACACATGTTATCTGGATATTGTCTCTTGTTTTGTTTGTTTATTTGTCTGTAGCAAGTATTAGTGATAACCAGACTTCCTTGCTAGAAAACTGGAAGTCAGTTTGTCATACTTCAATATTAGTTTCTTTAGGACAAGTACTGTAGCCAGGTTTTGTGCTATTTAATTACTATGGAAGCTCTGCAGTCGTGTCTCCAGGGTGAATAGACCTAGACTCCAAGGCTAGTTGCAGTAACCTGAGCCTTCCTTCCGTGAGAGGTGAAAGCAGCACTTTGCTTTCAATACTTCTGTGGTCTGAGAGGTGCAACAAACCACGTGTAAAACCTGTGGTGCTTCCAAACGTCCACCTCAGCACCTGGGGGTGAAGCCCCACTGTGGAGTTGGATGCAGCACTGACTTTTGCATAAAGCTTGTTCTCAGGTGACAAACTTACAGAAGCAGCTGGTGGAAATCCCCTGCAGACCAGTTCTTCCTCCACAGAGCTTTTGTGGCAGAGGCAGCTAAAACGAAACCTCGGGGGTAGTGTCTGAAAGTTGCATTAAGATCTGCACAGACTCTGTTCGAGTACTTTCACTTTATTAACAGCATCTGGAGAAATGAGGATTGAAAGGTGCCAGTAGATGTGACTGAAAGTTACTCCTTTTGAGGACTAAATTGCTGCAGGTGACTAAATATAAAGAGATGAGTGATGATCAGCAAGTCCAACCATCAGCCAGCACCCACCACCATGTTCACCACTAAACCGTGTCCTCAAGCTACATCCACACATTTTTTGAACACTTCCAGGGATGGGGACTCCACCACTGCCCTGGGCAGCCCCTTCCAGTGCTGTACAACCCTTTCTATGAAAACTGTTTGCTGATATCTGACCTGTAGCACAGTTTGTGATGAAAACAGAACAGGTGCAGCTGAGCTGGGCAAGGCATGTTATCATCATCTTCTAATGCAGGACTTTTAATTTTCAGTACCTCAAAATCCAAGGACAGCACGTCTGCAGCCACTCCTCCCCCGGTGAGGAACGGGGGGCACACGGGCACTGCCCCGGGCCAGGCAGGGAGCAGCAGCAGCCAGCTCTGTGTGACCCAGCCCCAGAACACGGCAGGGCCCAGTCCCCATGCGCTGAGGAGAGGTGGGTTTTCATTGCCTTTCAAGCCACTCTGTACCAGCTCTTGATGTCCTGCAAAAATGTTACTAAAGTAACTGTATTAGTGTCTCTGCCCTTATTACAGACAGCGGGTTGATCTGCTGGCATGTCACTGAGGCCTGGCCATAAAGCCTCTGTGACTTCTGCCCTCTTTGAACGCTGATAGGGGTGTCATCCCACCGCCTGCCATGGGCAGGGACACCTCCCACCAGCCCAGGTTGCTCCAAGCCCTGTCCAACCTGGCCTTGGACACTTCCAGGGATGGGGCAGCCACAGCTTCTCTGGGCAACCTGTGCCAGGGCCTCCCCACCCTCCCAGGGAAGAATTCCTTCCCAGTATCCCACCTCACCCTGCCCTCTGGCAGTGGGAAGCCATTCTCCCTTGGCCTGTCCCTACATGCCCCTGTAAGAAGTTCCACAGTCCATGATGTTGAAGTGTTCCCTCTTCTCTCCACAGCTGTGAAAAAGCCGGCACCAGCCCCCCCCAAACCAGCCAACCCCCCACCAGGGCAGCCAGGAAGCCAAAGCTCTTCCCCAGCTGCTCAGCCACCTTCTGTCTCTCCAAAACCACCTGCCAGAAGCTCTTCTCCTCCTGCTCAACATGCAAACCAAGGAGCAGCCCAGACCTCCGCCTCCCAGGTTTCTGCACCTCGGAGATACTCCAGCAGCCTCTCCCCAATCCAAGCTCCCAGCCACCCACCCCCTCAGCCCCCAACACAGGCAACTCCTCCCCTGCAGCCCAAAGCCAACAGCCAAGCATCTCCCGGCGCTGGCAGCGAGCACGGACCAGAGCAGCCCTGTTACACCCTGCCACAGACCCCGACCCCTCCCGACACCCCCCCGCTGGGGAAGCACCCCAGCAGCTCCCCATCGCCCCAGCCAGCGACTCCAGAGCCCTCCCAGGCTCCCTCCTTACCTCAGAGTGGCACCCTGCCCCGGCCACGGCCCGTGCCCAAACCCAGGAACAGACCCAGTGTGCCCCCTCCGCCTCACCCTCCCTCTCAGCTGCCTGGAGATGGGATTGTTGCAAATCCCACACAAACAGCTTCCAAAATAGTCACAGGTGAGTGGATCCTTCCCTATTCAGTGTCTCCTTGGGGAGTGGAAATAAAGAAAGTAGTGCCTGTTGCTGGAAAGGAATGTGGGGGGAAGCCTGAAAAGCACAAATAACGTTAAAATGCTAAATAGCTCATTTCCAGTTAAGTGCCCAGCCAACTGCTCTGCACACGAGGGTTCGAGGGTTTCGTTCCTGAGGCAGAAAGGTTTGGGGGCAAGTGGAGATGAGCTTGTTTTATTATTTTTTGTGTTGAACACCAAAGCTGAACACTGATAGCAGCTCGCTGGGGCTGTCTCCACGCTCAGATCTTGGCAGGCAGTTCTGCTTGTACATCTGTTGCCAAAAAGCAAATATTTGGAGGAGGGAGAAGATGTAGCCAAGGATAGTGGATTTCAGCACATAGTAAGATAAGAAAAGGGCAAAAGTGGTCACTGACACGTGTTCTAATAGGCAAAACACACAGAGAATATTTTAAAAACCTTAGGAGAACAGAGTCTTCTGATGCTCTTTTATGTTGAACATCCAGAAGTTGAAGATTCACTTACACTCAGCTGTATTTCTTAGGTCAGTACTTACAGAGCTTCATATTGTAAATGCAGTCTTTCTGTTCTGAAAGAATTGTAAAGTAAAGAGGAACATTTTCTTCTCACAAAAACTTCATGAAGCTTCTAGTTGCTAGTTTGGTAGGGATAACATTAATCTAAGTTAATAAAGTTAATTAATTAAGTTTATTTTTTTTAAATGTAATGCTGAGGCCATTCAAAACCAGCTGATTTTGAAATGTTCTCCTGCTGAGTTGCTGCTTATTCTGGGAAATTCTGAAGGAGGAGATAGTGAATGTAGAGACTAATGCTTTTAAATCGACCTATAATTAATAGTGGTTAAAACTTTCCCATGACACTGCCGCTCTAGAACTAGACTAATGTATTGGAATGCAAAGTATCAATTCTGTTGCCTAACAGCTTTACCCCAATGCCTTCACAGGTGGGGATGGTTACTGCGAATAAGGTTTGTACTCACAGAAATGTGCAATACCAGCTAAACTGCTCCTGTTTGTAGCTTGAGTTTGGACATGCGCTTTGGAACATGTGCTCTGTCAACTCTGTGTATCTCATCCCTACATAGCATTCTGTCTGTGAGAGGGTTTGAGACCTCTGCTGCTTCATTTTAATAGTCCTGTGAACATTGTTACTCCACAAGTACCTGTCAAGAAGTAACAGTTCGCGCAAAGTCCCCAGAACCAGTTCCCAAGTCAGGTGCGATGAGTGACCCGTTCCCAACAGGTTTGTTCTCCTCAGTGCAGGCAGATACTGCAGCCCATGTTTTTCCTGCAGTTTGGTGGATTATGGTTACATTTTAATGTAGGTCTCACTTTAGGTTTGCAGTTACTTTTAACCACTTGGAATTTATTTGGCAGAATCCACGTTGCTGTGACTAAACCCGTGGCAGAACAGCCCCAGCAGCACCTGCACTGTGACACGTTGGCATTTGCACGTGGCAGCCCCAGCCTCACTAATAGCACCCGTGCTCAGTCCCAGCCCCAAGCACACCTTCCTCAGGTGGAAGGCCTTGGGGATGCTGCTGCTGCCCTGCTGAGGGAACAACTGCATGGCAGGCTGGGAAAGGCAAGGCTGTGTTTGGAATCATCTCGAGATTTGGCTGTTTGCAGCAAAGACACTGGAGTCAGTGCTGGATTGAGAAGTCACACTGGAAATAGTTTGGGTTTGTTTTTTTTTTCTGTTGGAGAAACAGGTTGCCCAGAGAAGCTGTGGCTGCCCCATCCCTGGAAGTGTCCCAGGCCAGGTTGGACGGGGCTTGGAGCAACCTGGGCTAGTGGAAGGTGTCCCTGCCCTTGGCAGGGGGTGGCACTGGATGATCTTCAAGGTCACTTCCAACCCAAACCATTCTATGATGAAATTAGCAGTAAACAAGCTGCTTATGCAACTAAAAAGTAGCTTTGCTTCTTAAATAACTGACTTTTCCTGATTGTACTTCATTGTTTTTGTCAGTATATTTAAGTACATTACAAATCCCAAGCTCAATTCAGAAATAAGGCTGGGCTCTGGATCTTTACAGCACTTCTACACACAATTAAATAAAGAACAGCAACTGTGCCAAGGAGTCAAACTTTAAGGAAAGACTTAACCTTTTTGTCTAAGTGTTTTATAGTTTGACTGTGTGTGTTTTCATTTTGGGGTTTTCCTGGTTCTGAGGAAATTGCTTTAATGATGACAAACAGGGAGGGCTTGTTTTTCCCCAGTGTAACTGGAGGAATCCTTAACTTCTAAATCCCAACCAGCTGGTGTGCAGGGGCTGCTTCATTAGTGGGGGAGTTGGAACTGGGCAAGGCAAGCACCTGCCAGGGGGGAGTGATGGGCACAGCTTAATATCACTCCTTTCAAGTGCAAACCATAGCAAATTGGCCAAGTTGTGTACTGTAAACACAAAAAGAAGTTTCCAGGAAAGGAAAGCTGCTGAGGAAGGATCCTCTCCAAAACTGGCAAAGGGACCTAGAAAATACAGTCAGTTTTGCTAAAAACCCCTTGGGGAAGAGTTGAAGTGATACTCAGGCTCATCTCCAGCAGGACACTGTGCAGGAGCATCCACCTTTTCCAGATCAATCTGTTTTTAAAGGATTAATATTCTGAATTAACACCACTGCCTGTCACGTAAGAGTATGTGCTCTAATATTTACACCTGCATATATAAGCACCTATAGACTCACCTAATTCACAATGTGCAGTCACTGGTTTTAATTTTAACCTGAAAGAGCGAGGAAACAACAGAAGCCAAAATTTAAGTTGCCAGCAGACCTCATAATAATACCAGAACAGGAATTCTGAATTGTTCTCAGTGTACTCTTGATTCCTTTGTCCACATCCTGGGCATTAGCAGTGCCTTAAATTCTATTTATGGTGTTAAAGGAATAAGCCTTAGAATATTCTAATCAAGAATTTTATTAAATAATCCAGATGTTTGACCAGCATTCAGTAGGAACTGTATTGGCAAGTTCAATGGTAAGGAAAAGGCACCTGATTGGCCAGAGCTGTTGCTGACTGATAATCATGTGTGTGCTAACCCCAGTACTAACCCTGGCACAGGAGCTGCTTCCTCGTGTCCTGGGCAGGCATGGCCCAAATGTGGCTGCTGCTCTCACTAAACCTACTAAAGTGCTGCAGGCAGAGTGTGTGTGGCTTTGGTGTCTCACTGCCCACTGTCACTTGTGCTGTCTCATGTACACAGATCTAGGCAGGGTGTTTTTGGTGCAGAGCCTCCTTCTGTACCAGATGTCACTGAACCCTGGGGTGTCACAAATGCTCCTTCCCTGTACCACAGAACCGTGGAATTGTTGGGGTTGGAAGAGAAGCTGTGGCTGCCCCATCCCTGGAAGTGTCCAAGGCCAGGTTGGACAGGGCTGGGAGCACCCTGGGCTAGTGGAAGGTGTCCCTGCCCATGGCAGGGGGTGGGACTGGATGGGCTTTAAGGTACTTCCAACCCAAACTATTCTGGGATTCTGTGGTTTAACTGCCTGATCAGTGTCAGGCCAGAACATGATGGAATTCCAGCTGCTGTATTACAGTATCCTGGAATACAGATCCCTGCAGGTTGTGTGAGGCTGTGATGGGCTCAGAGGAGCAGGGGAGGCTGTGCTCCTGTGCTTGAAAATAAGGCCTTTATTTGGATTCTTTATTGATTTAAGTGATCTAAATTACTTTCTGTTTGGAACAGCTGCTGGGTTGCAGTAAGGGATGTTGTGGCATGTTATAAATCAGCTTTCCCAAGTATTGACAGTATTTTCAGTTATCTTTTTTGAACTCTTTGGGATTTTTCTGGTCTTATAATTCTAGCTACTAGGGCAGTCAGTCACCAGAAATGCAGCATTTTGGGGTCCTTCTTAGACACCTTGGCTTGAACAAAATTCTCCTCCCCTTAGAAGTGGCAAAGACCATGATGTGCCCTGTTACACACAGGGGAGGGGTGCAGGGCTAAGCCAGGGTCTGTAGGAGAAGCAGCTCCAAGCTGTTTAGTCTGGCTCAGCCTTTGTGCCCACCTGCACAGGGTGCCAGCCCTGTTGGAAGAGCCTTTGTTGATCTTTCCTTTCCCTTCTGTGTCTAAGGAAATGCCCAGGAGTACCCGAGTGAATGAACCAGCCCTGTCCCGGCTGCTAAACTTGCTGTTCCCTTTTTGTGCAGACTCTAATTCCAGTATTCCAGAACCACTTCCAAACCCTCCTTCAGAGCTTCCTCCGGAGCCGGCGAGCAGAGAGCTGCACAACCACCTCCTGCTGGACCTGGACACCGACACGGAGAGCACCGCGCTGTGACGGGAGCGCCGCGGCTTCCCGGCCTCCTCCCCTGGTGGGAAAACCCTCAGACCTAACAGGGAAAAGCTTCTTCTGACCACATGGCAGAGCTGTGCTCAGGTGGGACTGGGGCATCGTGGAGATGTGATTTACGGACTCATTTGGGTGGGAAAGGCCAACCTGTGGCCAGTCTCCGATTCAGCCGCTCAGAAGAAGTTTGATGATCTGTGTCTTGACAAGGGTTTTCAAACTCTTGGATGGAAGGAATGAATTCCTACAGGAACTCTCCTAGGAAGCGTAATCAGTGCTGATACAGGTGGTATTAGCAGAAATTCCAAAAGAATAAGCAAGCAGAACATTAGTTATTTAAAGTGCATGTATGTATTATGGAAATAATCCTTTTAATGTCACGGTTAGATTTTATTTGTAGTTCTTAGCCCGTACCAGGAGCTGCCTCGCAAGGGACATTCCCTCTGGGATTTGCTGCACATTCTTCTTAAACCATGAACCAACCCCCTGCCCGAGTGCTGGTGGTGACTGCTGGTTATCAGTCACCCTGTCAAACTGTGGATGTATCCAGTGCCTTGAAGGACTGTCGTGCTGTAGGAGGAACTTTCTGTCTCTTTAATAATTTCATTGCTACTTAGGATCAGTAGTTACCCTCATTTCATAGTTATTTGTATTAACCTGGTTTTACTCATGTGCAACTGGCAACTGTTCCACGAGGAAACTGTGGAAGTGGGGTTTGTGCTTTTATTGCAAACGGTTGAATTTTGGAAGAACTTTGAAGCAGCTGTTTGGATTCAGCAGTTGGGTGAACACGTATAAAATTAAAGATTGTCTTTTGTCAACTTAAGGCTTCTTTTTTCTAGCTTTGTTGCTTCCAGTGGGCCCTGAAGGTCACAGTGATCCCCTGGGCTTTGTTGCTCGGACTCACTGGCTGCTCAGCTTGGTTTTCCTTGAGGACTGCAGTGGAAGCATTCTGGGAATGCACACAGGTTTATTCCTTGATGTGTAGATTCATGTTAAACAGACTGCACCCAGCTGCACGTTAACCCAGCCCCAGAGGGGCCTGGGGCCACACTACGCCCCAGGCCTTGGCAGCCCCATCCCCACAGACTGAGGCAGGCAGGGAGCAGCTCTCACTCTTTATTAAGTTTATCTGCAGCTACACAAGGCCCCAGGGTGGGAGCAGGGGACTCGTCCCCCTCCTGCCCGGGCTGCCCCGGACGAGGGGCCAGGACAGGCATCGGTGCTCCTGGCCCAGGGCTCTCCATTGGATTGCTCCCAGAACAGCTGGGGGGCCCAGGCAATGAGGGGCTGCTCCTGGGCACCCCTGCCCTGGCAGCACCTGCTGGGTTTGGGCTGGTCTAGGTCCTTCAGGTGCCCCTGGAGGCAGCTGTGGGGCAGTTTCCATGCTGGGTGTTGGTTGGTGTCACCGTCAGACCACGAGCAAAGGTAACTCAGCAGGAGCTCCCAGGACGGGCCCCTCGGCTTTCGGTGCACACAGAGAGGAGGCTGAACAGGCACAGCTGAACCAGTGAGATACAACAGAGTGTGGACAAGGCCTTGGCCTCTCCTCTGGGCACTCAGAGCTGTCACTCGCCCCTCAAGGCTGGAGAAGCTGAACCAAAGGGGACCCAAGTGGTTGTAGCTGGTTATAGAGGCATAAATAGGAAAAGAATCCAGACTTCCTGAATTCCAGGCACTGCTCTAATGCCGAAGAGGAAATTTAAATATTTAAAATAACCAAACCTTCCTCAGCTGTTTGGGGCCAATTGGGGTCTGACAGTGCTGGTGCCAAGCACTCAGCCCTGGTCAAAGCCAGGCCCTCATTACAAATAAGGAAGGGATTAGGAAGAAGGATCTTTCTTCTTAAATAAAGAAATAAAATTTAGAAAGCATTAAAATTACATTAACCCTCTGCTAGTTATTAATATTTACACCAATTAAAATTAGTTGATGTCACTGGACTTGCATCCCCCTGGCTATGCGAAGTATGCCCAGAGGAAGACCCCAGCACACAGGCAGATGAGCAGGTTGATGTTGAGGATGTGTTTCACCAGCGGCTTCTCCAGGGAAGCCACGGGCAGGGGCTCAGGTTTGGGTGGTGCTGTGCTCTCGGTGCCCTCCTGCCTGTGCTCCATCCCACAGAGCCACAGGAAGGTGCTCATCAGCTTCGAGCTCCCTTTGGCCTCAGTCGCACCTGAAAAGAGAGTCAGGAGTGAGGGATGAATCTCATCAACAAAGCAAATCCCAGGAATGTCCCGTGTGCTCCTGTTCAAAGGGTTTTGATGCAGAAATGCACCAGTGGTGTCTGAGTGAACACTCACTACACTGAGCTGTAGGGACCCCTTCAGTCATCATCTTTTGGGGCTGCAGTACCTGAGCTCAGATTCTGCTGTTCCCAACAGTTTAAGCCGTGGGAACAGTAAAACAAACCTCAAAACTGAGCTGTGGCAGCCTCCCTGGGCAGGGCCCTGCTGTAGGCCAGGGGGGTTTTCTCCATGCCATGCACATGTAAACTGAATTTGCCCAGCTCTGGTATGGGTTGGGACACAGGACTAAGTGCTAGGAAGGCAATGCTTGTGCACAGCAAACTCAAGACTTCCCAGCAGTGGGAGAGCTGTGCCCTAACTCATTAACTTACAACAGCTTTTATAGATCAAAGAAACACTCAGCAAAAGCTGCAATGTTACATAAACAGGGTCCCAAGCCTGGCAAAAACAGGGGATTCGAATCATCACTGGAGAATGCAGTGGGTCTGCACATGGTTGTACCTAATACCGACAAGTACAAGTTTTAAAAAATGCAAATCCTCCTTCACTGATCTGTCAAGAGCTCGGCCCAGGGCTCTGGGTTCTCCCTGCTGCTAGAGCCGATCAGAAAACACCGCTGAAAAACAGAAATGGAATTTCATCAACATAACTGTGGTTTTCCTCCACCCTCCCCTTCTCCAACCAGTTCTCCTGGCAGCAGGTGCCACAGCACCGGTCACTGACGTGGGATAGCGGGCATGGCTCTGTATCCCATCCAGCTCCTTGGTTTCAAGCTTAAGTAATGCCATCAAAAGATGGGAAAGAGACTAAACTCCTGCTTAGGTAAAATGTCAGGTAAAGCCTTTCTCCACCTGGAGAAGAGGAGGCTGAGGTCAGACCTCACTGGAGTCTGCAGCTTCCTCCTGAGGGGCAGTGGAGGGGCAGCTCCGATCTCTGCTCTGTGTGAGCAGTGACAGGACCTGAGGGAAGGGCTGGAGCCGTGTCAGGGAGGTTTAGGTTTGATATCAGGAAAAGGTTCTTCCCCCAGAGGGTGCTGGGGCACTGACCAGGCTCCCCAGGGCAGTGGGCACAGCCCCAAGGCTGCCAGAGCTCCAGGAGGGTTTGGACAATGCTCTGAGAGACAGGGTGGGATTGTTGGGGTGTCCTGTGCGAGGCCAGGAGTTGGACTGGATGATGCTGATGGGTCCCTTCCAACTCAGGATATTCTGTGATTCTCTAATTCTACGATTCTTTCAGCACACCCTGAAGCTACGAATTCCAGAGGAAGGAGTTTTAACATCTCTCGTCTTCAAAGCCTCTACGAACACCAAGGGTTGTTGGGTGTGGGGTTACTGAGCACGACGTTGGAGCACTTACATTTCTTCTCCTCTGCACTACTGCCAGAGGCAATGTTTAGCTCAAGCTGGAGAGCGGGGCGCTCGGCGTCGCTGGGGCAGGGGCCGACTGCCAGGTCCTGCTTGGGCGGTGGGTCCCCACGCGTGAACCAGGTGAGCCGACTTATCTGATGGCATGAAGAGGGGTGTTAAAGAAACTGCTGCCACGGTGCCCAAAGGAGCCCCAGGGCTGCCTGCAGGGAGAACACGTGGCTGGGCTGAAATCTGCCCTCCTGCTCTGAGGAGCAGGGGAACAGCCGAGCTGGGCTGTGGGGTGACAGTCACTGTCAGAGGGGGTTTGGAACAGCACAGCTCCACCTCAGGAGGATGAGTCTTCACTCTGTACTGAGGGGACATTTCTCTGTGGGCCCATCCCTGGGTGCAGGCTGAGAGTGAGTCAAGAAGGAGCAAAAAGAATGGAAATTGTGGCCAGGAGGGATGGCTCAAAGAAGTGGGGTTGTTGAGAAGAGACAACAGGTAGGATTGTTTTCTTCAAATATCTGAAAGACTCATTAAAGAGGGATGTTCTCAGCAATAGTGTGGATAGAGAGGGATGAGCACAACATGAAGCTGGAAAGATTCACGTAGAAGATGAGGAAAAAATTGCTACAGGGAGGGCAGGTGAGCTCTGGACTGATCACACACCTCTGGGGCATCTCCCTCTCTGGGGATTTCTGAGTTCACCAGGACTTTTGGGTTGGTCCTGTCTTGAAGCAAGAGGATGTGCTGCCACATGATCCCTCCAGCTCCCCTGCCCCTCCTTCTGTTTCTCTGTAGCCTCAGTACATCTACTGAAAATAGTCAAACTGGCACAAACCTGGTTCAGAGGAGTTGTGCTCTGTGCCCTGGGTTTCTCTTTCCTGCGAGTAAAAATGGTTCCTCACTAAGTTAGTAAGAGAGTTGGTAAAGATGACCCAGAAGCTGGAATTTCTTGGAAAATAGAGGGAAAAAGGCTAATTTGTCATGGATTAAACACACGTGCTTGAACAACAGCTCCTGGTAGCATCTACTGTTGAGCAGTTTCCAGGGTGGGATTTATGGGACCCAAATCAGAGGCGGCAGCAGAGGTGCCGGAGCAGAGCAGGGGTTGCTGCTACAAGTGTGGTCATAAATAAAGGACGAATGGAAACTTCCATCTCCAGCTTATTTCTCCCCACATTATTCCCACGGGTGGAACGTGGGGCATCCTGGCAAGCACATAAGCAAAGCAAGCAGGAGAGGTGACGCACCATTTCGGGGGCGGGGGGCTCGGTGGCCACGCTGACGAGCAGCACGGTGAGCGTGGAGACGGCCGCCAGCACCATGGAGAAGTACAGGTAGTGCATGTACTTCACCGCGCCGGGCCGGGCGTCGGCCTCGCCGCACCGGGGCTCGGGGAAGATGAAGTCCAGCACCAGCCGAACGACGCCCAGCAGCAGCCCCACCACCAGCCCCCAGAAGGCGCCCTGCAAAGGAAGGGAATTCTGTGCTGGAGCGAGGAGCAGCACCCGCCCCGGACCCGGGGCTGGCCAGGCTCCAGTGGAGCAGTTACCTTCTCGTTGGCTCTTCTCCAGAAGCAGCCCAGGATAAACACCATGGCCACGGGTGGCTGCAGGTAGGAGCTGATGGACTGGATGTAAATGAAGAGCTGCCCGCCCTGGCCAGCCTGCACCAAGGGGATCCACAGGATGGAGATCACAGTGAGCAGCAGCACAAAGACCCTGGGCAAGACAAGGATGCCTTTACTGTGGGCATCTTTACTGTGGGATGTTCTTTTCCAGTTGCTCAGCATGTGAGACTCTGACTGAGCTGCCTCACAGCCATAACTCATAACTCCACTCTGGTCCTCCCCCCGGCCTGTGCAGGGTGAAGGTGTTCCCTCAGCAGGCTGTGCCAAGGTGTGTCTCTGACACGTCCCAGTCGTCCGTACCTGCCGACGATCATGAGCTCCCACTCGGAGCAACGCGGACGGAAGTGTTTCCAGAGGTCCATGGTGAAAATGGTGCTGGCACTATTAAAGATGGAAGTCAGGGAGGACATGAGAGCTGCTATCATCACTGACATCATCAGGCCCCTGAGTCCTGGAAACAGAAGGAGAAGTAGAGCTGCCCTGAGGGACCCCCAGCAGCTCCACTGCAGGGTGACCTTGAGGTCTTCTATGAGCTAGAACAGACTTTTCACAGTGGTTTTAGCTCCAATTTTAAAATAACAGTGATAGGGAAGTT